CGGTTATCTCCTTTGATGCGCTACCGTCGTTGGTCACGCAGCTACCCAAGTACGAGAAACAGTCAACTTCAGCTGATTCCTGACCGTCTAGTTTCAGGACAAAGCTCGGCGATACCCAGTCTTGCAGCACCACTTCGCACTTTGAAGGTGCAAAGCGCATACTCTTTGTTCATTCTCCATAGCTTCGAACAGACAAATGACGTCTTCAGCGTACTCCAAATCGTACTGCTTTTCTCCAGCAGCCCATTCAATACCTACATTTTGGAGACCAATTAGTGTGTTCTCCAGTATTTCGTATATGACGAAATTGAACAGGAATGGCGAAAGATGGAAGCTAGTAACTTGGTGGCAATTGGGATCTACTTATTCCGCGGTGGTTTGCGCAGTCGTTGCGCGATCCCTTCTTAAGAACTGGAACCAGTGATTCGCTTCAGGATGACGGAATTAGCTCGCGTGACCATATGTTACGCGTTAGCTCAGCAACGGAGTCTACGAGGTCATCGCCCCCCATCTTGAAAAGTAGCGGTCCTGCTGCATTTCCTTTCTTCAATGCTTGGATGCAGGAGCGTACTTCAGTAGGAAGTTCACATGACACCTCCTACGGAGCCTCAGCTACAACGGATGAGATAGTCTGGTCAGCACCTGGCCAGCTGAACTGTTCGTTGAAGTACTCCACACACCGTTCAAGCCCTTGTTCACCTTTGTGAATAGCTTGCCCACTTTTGTCGCAGATTATTTCACTAAGTGGTTCGCCGACCTCTCGTGTTTCTTATCAATTACCACAGTCTTTGACCATTCCCTGATGCGGATGCAACTTCCATTTCGCCAGCTATCGTTTCTCACCAGTTACGGTCTTTCTTGAGTTGATGTCGCAGACATCACCTACTCCTGCCTTGATCCCGGTCGGTCGGGATTTGCCACTTTTCCTGCATCAGTGCTACTTAATCATCAGATATCCAATGCCTCGGGTGGACTACCGCTTCAGATCCGCCAGTAACCATCGCTGCGGAATGCGTTGCACTTCTACTCTGATCCACTTGTTCATTTACGTTACCACGCTGCAGCCCGTTTAGCTCTTGCCCTAGTTCAGGTTCAGAACAAACACGAACGACTGTGTCAGATAAACGATGATCTGCAAACCGAGTTTGGTTTGGTTTTCTGCGATCACTGAGTTGTAGAGTGAATTGCCTGAGAACTAATGCATAATGAAATTCAATGCTAGTGGTCCAATAGGACCTGCAGTTTTGTACTGAGCTACGCCAACGGTAGCTTACTGCACTGGGGTCGATCTGAGTTCGTATGCCAGTTGAATTCGAGCGCCCCGTACCTGTCCGTCGAGAGGTGTGTCGGAAGTTGGTGCTGGATAGGAACGGATGGTGATCTGTGCAGAACTGAAGAAGTCAATCGCCATTATCTGTTTACTGACGGGGTAGAGCATAGTGACCACCTAGACAAGCTTCCAATGCGCTCAGTTTTCCAATTTTGAGCGCTAAAATTACCTACGAGAACAAATATATATTGGAGCTACGGCTCAACCGAATGAGTTCGGTGAGTCTATCATAAATCTCATCCTTTTGTGCGTCAAAACTGCAGTTAGTTGGTGCATACGCTGAAGTGATGAACAAACAACGATTCACCGAATCTTATAGCCCCATATGGTGGCTTTTTGTTTTCCCAGTTGGATGTACTTCGCTGTACTGTGATACACTGACTCTAGATCAAATAGGAGTATTTCTCGAGGCGTGAGGAAAGAGTGGTCAGTTAGCACTCAAAACATTCACCCCCAAGCATGTTTGAATCGGAAATCAATAATGATCGATCGGACCGTGATCACACAGCACTCCGTCAATCGTTGCTGATGGTTGTTGCAAGATATGATTTCTTTTTTTGTAGCCTAAACTGGGTTCTCGTTGATTGCATTCCAGTTGGCTCACTAAGCTTACAGATTTTATTTGCATGTTTTTTTAGTCTGAATAATTCTACCACTCCTATATCAAATTGAATGTGATCAAATAATAATTTTTTCACAACTGACCTTTTGGTACATTAAATTTATTTTCACTCTAAAGTTAAGATGATCAGTTTAACACAGACAATCCTGCTCTGTATTGCTATACGATTGAAAATGGGATGAAGTACTATTTTCTTTTGGCTTACAGAACTATGTTATAGTGGTTTAGAATTTTCATCGTAGGGAGCGAGGGGAAAAATTCATTGACGTGAGTTTAATGACAAGTTTTCACGTTTCTCTTTCTCCCCCCCCTAGAGTATCAAGCATAGAAATGTTGATCTGAGTTTAAAATGTCTGCATTTTGTATTGCCGTTTTCAGTCTATTTTAATACTCAGTTCATTTGTTCAATAACATGTGCCCTTTCAAAGTCTGATTTCGGTTTACGCGGTTTCTTTTTTCACTCCAGACGAGTCGTTATCCTCAACGTCATTGGATAGTGATTCTGATGTGGATGCCTCTCCCAAACCTACATCACATACACGACCACTCAGCGTAACCCTTCGTTCATCAGCTAACCCCACCATCCCTCCCTCAAAATCAATTTCCACCGAACACGCACACTTGGTGACACGTATTTCTATTCCCCAAGCTCAGGTATACGGGACAATAACAGCGGGAGTAAATCAAAGCAAATATCCTGACCGTACCGGGCAACCGAATCCCTCAGTATCCACCGCCCCGGCAACGGGTTCGCCAAACTTACCGACAGTCAACACAAAAACTTCACATCGAGTGATTCGCATCAAACCGTTACCTGTTCGTCCGACAGAATGTGGAAATACCGATTCGCTGTCTTCTCCGGAACACATCCCGGATCTACAACCATCTCCTTTGCGAACGGTAGATGATATATGCAAACTACGTGTAAAATCGAAGAAACCAAGCACTTCCGCGTCTTCTTCCGTTTCATCTGCACTTTCTTACCCTTCCTCGTCTGGTCACGCTACCATTCCAGCTGTAGCTTCCTCTTTGGATGGACATGTATCTAGTGGATCAGTACGTTCATCTTCAGCCTCTGGCTCCACTGTGTCCACGGAGTTGGAGACACGTACCGGTCGTGTATCAAAACATAAACAGTCTAGGACGACTGATGGGACGAAGGCTCCTGTGGCTCGTGCTAGTCGTTTAAAGATGCGGATCTCTAATCAGTCCGGCAGTTCCCAACCGGCATTACCAGTTGCTTTATCAAACTGCCATCCCCGTTCCGCTTCTTCTCTCTCCTCACTGCGTGATTCATCTTCGTCTTCATCCTCATCTGCTTCTTCCCCTTTGTCCCACTCCCGTACTCCATCTCCATCTTCTTCCGACCTATCTTCATCTTCTTCCACCATATCCTCTAATTCGATTACATTGCCTCCATCATCAGTCACTAGGCGCTTGGGACCTCCGGGCTCAGTACAAACATCTGGATCTACAACTTGTGCAAATCCTGCCTCTTTGAGGCGAAATGACCCCGTGTTTGGCAGCTATGAAACACACGCTCAGTTGAAGAATGAAAACAGGACTCAACTCGGTGAACGCACATCACCTGCGGATTCACTGAAGCCATTGGCCAAAGTGGCACCAACCTTACTCTCAGGTAACAGCAATAACGCCGCCACTGTCACAACCACCACCACTTCTGCAACCAGCGATTCGGCCAATGCGACCACTGCGGTATCCGGTCTTAAAAGAAGTCCTCTTGGGAGAGAAAATACTAGAAGTACTCGACACTATCGAGGTAATATTTCTTCGGATTTGGCTCGACCATCGCTTGACGATTTATCTTATGGCGAATCTGATAACAGTCCTCTTTCTCAACCAAAGGGATGCAAGAAGCGAGTAAGTTTCTATGTATATGATACCACTATGTTGTTTTTCCTTGATCCTAATTGCTTGAACTTTCTTACCCCGCGAAGTTTACTTAATTATTGCTAGGCTGGATTTTAAGCCCGCCATGCTCACTGATCTGAACTCACGCGATGGAAGAAAGCACCAAGAGCACAAAAATGGAAGGAATAATAACACTTGACATAAAATGAAGGAGTCAATTAAGATTTCAGTCATACTCAGATATGTTTTTTTCTTGTTTCCACTTTTTTCGAGAACAATTCTACTCAGTTCACCGCCTTGGAATCCGGTTTATAGGCACCATTTCAGTCCGTTTAATTTCATACTATCTGCGGAGTTATCGATAATATATATTCTGATTCTAGTGTGACGGTTGTCAAGCTCTTTGAGCCACTTTCACTGGTGTCAGATGGTTTCCAACCATTATCTCTTCTTGGTGCAATATCACACGTTGACGGGACTTGTGTGATTGACCGTGCATTTTGCACATCTGAATCCAGACAGTTTGCTAACCAAATCATGATACAATAACCCTTATGAGAAAGAGCGTTCTGTGATTTGTCTGTGAATAGAATACTGTCAGGTTGCCCAGACAGATTGGTGAATTTTCTTGAGGAATTCCTAACCGGAGCCTTTGACTAGCCAAAGCCTGACCCGCAGAGCAGTGGGGCTGTGTGAAAACCGCGATCCATTGGGAGCCGACGTCCAGTACATCGGATTATACACCCTTTGGAGGGGTCAAACTTCCCAGGTGTCCAGTACATCTCGATACCCATTCGAGCCGTTGACCACTAACCCTACCAGGAAAATGTATGTGGTTCGTACGCCTCTTCTTGGTTGGCTGGGCATCATGGTTTTTAGCCATCTCTCCTAGTTGAACTGATTGGCTACTCAGGTTTGATTAGTGATTTCCATTTCCGCTACCATCGTGCTTCTCTGTCACTACTCCACGGATCGAACGTTGAACTCAACTCTTCAGATTGTGCTATAAATAATTGAGTAACGTTGGTTGGCGGATTTTAAAGTTTTAATGTAATTCAGTAATAGCATCGCCGAAATCCGAGCTCACATATAAACGCCGCTTATGCCTTCGTACAAAGTACTCCGTACCAGCTGAGCTACAAGGCCACTGGGTTAGGTTCCAGAGATGTAGGGCACCCATATATTCCATTTGATTTGTTCAGGTCTCGTTAGTTTGGATAACAAACCATATGGAAAGAGTTTAGGGCGTTCAGTTTGATTTTGTGTATTCGCTGATAAGGCTTACTGTGAACACAGGCAAGAGTGGCGTCCCCGCGTGGATTTGGATCCCAAAATTATATAAAAATAAAGTAACAGTTCGGTTTTGAACATGGTAATATAAATGAGTAAGCAATGAAAATAAAATGCACAATATTTCACTCAGTTTCATCTAAAAAGCACCAACAGGAATTTCCTCGATTTGACCTCTGAACGAGGTGCGTCTATACAGATAACTAACTGCTTTANGATGAATTTCAGTATTGGACCCTCTAAGTTTTGACTACACTTAGTTGGGTAATGACCAAATGTGACGGAAAGTGTTGGGTTTATATAAACCCAACACTTTCCGTCACATTTGGTCATTACCCAACTAAGTGTAGTCAAAACTTAGAGGGTCCAATACTGAAATTCATCGACTTTCTTCGTGAGGGTGTATATATATATGCATATTTCGCACACGTCTGAGGCCACAATGTGCCAAAAAAATCATCGTACAATAGTATTTATGAAAAAATTTTCAATGAGGGTGCAGTTCTCGCAACCCTAAAACAAGGCCTTTGTATTGTGGCACTGCGCACCGTTACGTTAGATGAAAGATGGATGTTCTAGCAGTGTCAAAGATGCAGCAAGTTGGCGTGTGGCATACTGATCTTGATTATGTTCATTATTTTGTCATCTATGTCACCACTGGTTGTTATTCAACTCGGAATGTCCAATGCAAGCAAACACATTTTAAGAAGTTCTGTTCGGAATTTATAACGTTACGCTTAGGTTAGCAAATTTGACTTCTTTGTGATAATCGCCAGAGAGCGCTGGACAGTCGTTCCTTTGTTGGTATTCATCATCAGTGTGGCACAGCCAAGATTAAAACTTGAGATTTTTTGGTTGGGATTCGGAACTTTTATATCGGAGTTACGCAGCCAATGGTCAATACCTTGAATGCATAGCTGCAGTTCTTGCGATGTTCAAGGAAATTTACAAACTCCAGGGTCTGCGTACTGCGTACGCGGTTGAACAAATTCTACACCATAGGAAGCCTGGAATTTGAGGTTCCATCGTCTTCGATTACTGTATATAGGGCACTCGATCCATCTTACCAAAAGCGGCTCGCAAGTCATTAAAGCAGACTGCAACGAACTAGCGCAGTCTTATCAACGAATTCCGAGTATACACAGATGTAAGAAAACATGATAGTTGAAACTGAAGGCTTTTTCCTGTGATAAATTTGAAATCGTGCAAAATTACTATACGGACTTCTGTCTTCAAACATAAATAGCTGTGAAATGGAAGAAACAATTCAGTTCAGTTCAGTTTGTACAACCATTAACCATGCACTATCGTGCGCCGGTTTTGGTTGCTATCGTTCGGCTACCCATTTGGATGAACATTAGGAGAAAAATAGGAAAGTTTGGAAGTACCATCGAAGAAAAGATTGAAAGTTCAGTGGATTAATGATACAGAGAAATTAAGAAGATGCACGAACGCCACTGCTTGCGACACCCGGCCATATCACTCAGTGTCTCTAACCATCGGTGACCATCATCCCGAGGTCCCCAACCAGGGAGCCTGACGGAACCTGTGTGACCTAGACTCCTGGTTCGGGTTTTTATACCCTCATGCCAGGTCTTAGCTGGACCACCCTTGGGTTTCTTCTACCCACTACCTGCCTCGGCAAACATCGTTCGCCGTGGCAACCTAGTTGGAGACATGCGTTACACATGTCCCAACCAGCGTAATCTATGGAGGTCGACCACTTGCTCCAGTGGGCGACCGCGAGTGCCTAAAACTTTTCGCCTGACCTCAGCATTGCTAGTCCGGCTGCCCCACCAGATTCGTGCAATTGCAAAGGTAGTTCGATAGAGGGGAAACAAAAGGTCAAGACAGAGGCTTTATTCATCACACGATTGGACGATTGGAGCTAAAAGGTAAAATTTCGAGGTAACGAGTATTGCGAAGTAAAGTAAATACAAAAAGGAGTTTAATATGACAAGTTGACCTTTTTGACGTATGACGTGTCTGAAGTAGCTGTCGGTGTGATTGATACAGCTGCGACCGAAGTGAAACCCAGCCTGTTTATTTCGCTTCTCATCTTTATGCGTCTCCGTTTGCCTGTCGACGTTAGGAGTTTAATCGCTTTGATACAATGTTCGTCACCATGGTAAGTGCAGCCATTAAAAAAAATGAGAATTACCATTTTCTTTGCATCTATACTCTAAACTTAGGAGAACAGCATCAGGTTCTCTCGGTCGAATTTTCAATCGGTTCCTTGGTGCCGTCTCTGTAATGTTATCTGTTCTGATCATATGATGCGTGTGCCTCAGCGATTTGCTTAACTGGTGCGGCGAGCTCGAAGATACGTAGCGTTTCCGAACCATCGTGCGGATAAGATTTATTAATTTTCGGGTGTTTCCTGATGCATATATGTGTCTCTGTATCGTGTTTAGTGCATCAGATCTTGCGGGCCCTTCCGAACCTAGCAGAATATCAACGCTTAATATGGAGATGCGTTTGCTGTCAGCCGGTATCAATCAGTGATCGTCGAGTGAATGCAAGGTTTCTTAGAAAAAGTTTTTTGAGACAACTTGTTAGTCCGAAGCAAGCGACATAGTAATGGTAGATAGCATATCAAACCACCGTCCAGTGCTCATTTAAGTAAAGCAGCGTGACTGTCCAGCTTTTTAGTGTAGTGATCTACTCGTATCCAACCGTGGTTGTCTCGTGTTGTAGAATAGGCCCAGCTCCCAACCTCACTCCGACGGAGGCACCATAGTGTGTAAAAATTTGGATGTTTTCAGGTACTTCTCATCAGGCGCACAAATCTGGAATGAGGTTTCGGCAGGTATACAGAATATTCGATAGTCGTTGTTAACTTGAGACATCAATGGTACGCTTCATTCTTAGTGGTTAACTCTCGCCTAACCTAGTGATGCTTAATATAGTTCATCACTCCAAATCGCTG